TCACTTACGAACATCTAATTTGGTGTTGAACAATTCTTCCATCTGCTCTCGCTCGGAAGGTTCATCGGACGCGTCCCTTATATCATTCTGCGGGGTGTCAATCAATCCGGTGCTTGACAATAGCTGGCTGTAAGTATGCGAATTACGTTATTAGCGTTGTGTACTGTGAATCGACCGTCTCCGCATTTGTGTATTCGCACACTAACATGCACACAGTGAAATAACATAGCCCTACTTGCTCACTCCATACTCAGAAGGTAACTCACATGTGGTCGGAAAGACATCAGTAGGCGCATAGAGGGACCAAGTAGTAGTAGCAAACGCAGGCGCGATAGAAATTCACACACATACGCGATCAATAGTGAATAGTCATGAACTACAATTAAGTACCCAGTACGTAAATCCAAAACCCTTGGACCGACATATGAAGTCAGTTCTAAGAGCTCTTGATTGATATACACCAAACTACACACATACATACATACACAGAGAGAGAGAGCGCGCGCGAGAGAGAATGTGAGCATGTATACATACGTGAACCCTTGAACAGGCATATGAAGTCAGCTCTAAATGCCCTTGATTGATAAACACTAAACTACACACACACATACATACATACATACATACAAACGGAGAGAGAGAGCGCGCGAGAGAAAGAATGTGAGCATGTATACATACGTGAACCCTTGGAAAGACATATGAAATCAACTCTAAGAGCCTTGATTGGTATACACCAAACTATATATACACACACAGCGAGAGAGAGCGAGAGAGAGAGAGAGTATGTAGACATACGTGAGCAAGGATATGGCAGTGGGAAGACGAAAGCTTTCCTGTGCACCGGAAAGGGAGACTTTGACCCGTCGGACCTTTTCTGATCAACCAAAGTTGAGTAAGGGATAAATGGGTAGAGTTCAGCGAGATAAGACTTTGAGGACCAAGGTACCACGCACAGTGATCGAGTATAAATACCATCACTGTGGATTGTGGGCCAAACATAGATGAATTGAAATCCCCCCAAAGCTTATCCTTCTAGCATGATATAAATACACCATACGACACCCACAAAGATGGTACTTTCACGGGAACATCCTCTGTGTATATATAAAGTAGTCTGCTTATAAACTGGAACAATACCGGTATTTGTGGGATCCAATCGGGCAAAGAAGGTCAGTGGTGTGGTGGATGTGCGGCTGCGAGAGCGGGTTTGGCTGTCCACTTCGCTGAGGTAAGCATTCAGCTCTGTGCACATTTGAGACACAACGACATGCAAGTTAAATAAATAAATGTCATACGATGATTCATAAGCCCCTCCTACAAGTGCAAGTCGGCAGTTGTATCTACAGCAAACTGATGACGGAATGGCGTAGTTGATAAGAAGTTGAATACGCACTAGTAGAACTTGTAAGTGGAAAGGCTTGAAGGATACATGCACTTCTCATGCGACTGGTATGTGACATCTTGGCGATGAGACCCCAGAGTATGACAGACTACAATAGGGGGTGGATATAGCCCAACTTCGTCTTGTGAGAAAATGAGAATCTATGATACCGGTCATTTGCGGACAACACGCTGTTCTTAATGTGTTTAAGGAAATGTGGCGAGAAAATCTGCATATGTATTGGTATTGAGTCAGAGTATGTCCGACTACAGTACGGCGTGGATATAGCCCCACTTCGGTTTGATAGTCTACACAGCACGCGACGTCGTTCATGGATATACATATTGTCACCTCGCGGATAACGACATAGCTGAGGTGTGATGGGTGCAAATGAGTCCTTGGGTGGGCGGTTCAGGACAGCTAAAGTCTAGTAGCACCCATGGTTACCAGTTTGTGGACACGTTTGAAAATGATATATATATAGCAGGGGGGTTAAGGGCAGAAAATGACAATCGCACTCAATTTGTCGATGAAGAAGTGTATGATTTTCATTACTTGATGTGAGTATGGTGTTTTTTAGTTCCGCACCCTATGGAATGATGAGGAGTTTGTTATTGAATACTTGATGTGAGTATGGCCTAATTACTGATCAGAAAGTTCCAACGCGCACTAACAAACATACCAACGAGCGAACGCTGGTTGATGTCCCTCACTGACGGCTGGTCTACAAAGCGGTCAGGGTGGATGTGTAGTATGAAAAGGTTGATCTTCTTCCGTAAAAGCTGGAAGAAACAACAGAGTGCAATGTGTACTATGAGCACAGGAGTATTTTAGTGCACGCAACATTTTTAGAGACACCCCTTGTATTAGCTCTACATACAAACCGATGCACAGATATTAATGCAAGCTTTATGCGATATACATATAGAAAATGCTAAAAACAGTTCATATATACATTAATATACATATATATATATATATATATGTA